AATGATTATTTCGATGAGTTACAAACGGAATGACGAACTTAATATACCCTCCATACCTTTTTTGGTGGAGGGTATAAAAAGAATGAACCATTTGAATGTTTTTCTTAATAAAGTAACATTTCTTTATTTTCCCTATATCGTTTTAAATTCATGTTTAACTTTTTACAACAAAACTGGAGCAGCGCCATAAGTCAAGGGAGCAGAGTAAGCGAAAGGAGCAGCATATGTAGCAGCGTATTTGGCAACGACTGGGGCAGAGTAGGCAGCAGCAGCAACAGGAGCAGTGTAAGCGGCGGCTACGGGAGCAGCAAAAGTTTTGGCAACGAGGGGAGCAGCAAAAGTCTTGGCTACAACAGGGGCAGCAACGGGTGCAACAACTGGAGCGGTGGCAATGCCATTGTAGTTACGGGCAACATATTGGCTGCTGGTGGCAGTGACAAATGGAGCAGGAGCAGCAGCAACAACGGCAGCCGGAGCGGTGTAAGCCAAAGGAGCACCAACCAAACCAGGCTTGGCAGCGGCACAGGCAATGATGGCGAAAAGAACAACGGCCTAGAATATATATAAAACATATTTTTAATTAATATTGTCAATATTCCTTAAAGCATAACTGCTAATACTTACGAATTTGAACATGTTGATTAAATTTAGTGATGTATTTGTTCGGAACTGTAAACAAATTTTGATATAGTTTTGTAAAATAGTTTATCTATTTATATAGTAAAATATAATCCATATAATATGTACCGTTGTTTTCTTAAAATTGTTGGTATACTGATATTAAAACAAATAGCTTAAATAAATTATTTAAAATGCGCAATACGTAGCTTACATTTTATGTAGGCATCTACCATGTGTATTGTATATATTTCGATGTGGGTATCAATTAATTTGAAATGGTATTTGAATCATGTCTTTTTAGGTGTTCTTGAAGAGTTGAAGAATATATATAATACAAAGGGAAAATAATGGACTTATATGCTAGCGTGGAATTTGCTATACAAATATTCAATAATAGTGTAATTTTACACAAGGTCATAGTTCGGGGATACTAAGTGTGCAGACACAGGCTAAAAAGAAAACCAGTGAGGAAAGGTCAAAAGTCAGACGGGGCTGACTATATGATACACTACACAACTAGGCGTATTAAGTAGACCTCCCGCCACAAAGAAAGTTTATATTGGGAAATTATGTGAAGTATATCATACCAACTATGAACCTTATTTGAATGTGTATCATGGCTTTAAAATAGTAACAATTTGAGATATATCCAACTCTGAATCGATTTTCAACAAAATTTGACGTAGGCTTTTGCACCTCTAGTACCAAATAACATTGCTCTACAGTGCATAATATGACTTCGATAAGAATTATATTAAAAACGTTTATTGGAGCAGTAGTTATACCGAGCCGAGTTTCACCAAATTAAAAAATTCGGTTGAAAATGAAAACATCTATCCAATATTACATGTATGGTGGACAATAACCGTAAAATCGGATGACGATGTATATCGAATATATACAACAACAAAAAACAGTAAAGAAAGTCCTAAAGTCGGGCGGGGCCGATTTTATGATACCCTACACCACTTTGCTAATTTAGTTGAGCTCCACAAAACAATTAAAAGTTTTTATGGGAGAATTCAATCATACACCCTATGATGATAATTATAATTTAAAATTCAAAGGACTAAATATGCCGAAGCATTTGTATCTTTTAAATTCGGAATTGTATTGCCCATTTGGTTCAAACTTAATTTGAAATCAGATAAAGATATATATGGGATCTCGATAAAATTTGGCAAAGATATTTCTGAGCTGTATTTGATATATTTCCCTGAATATCGTTGTTACGGAGTGCATATTACATCTGTGGGTAGCAAATACAACAAATCTGATGAACAATATATATGGGAGCTATAGCTATATCTGAACCGTTCTTCACCAAATTTGGCATACTACCTTTTAGACTCAATTCGGTCGTATATGCCAAATTCCATCCCATTTGGGCAAATATTAGACGTTTGGTGCACAATAAAAGGTAAATCGGACGAAGTTATATATGGGAGCTATATCCAAATCTGAACCGATCTCGATAAAATTTAGCAAAGGTATTTCTGGGCTGCATCAATATAACAATTTCCCCAAATATTGTTGTTACAGAGTGCATATTACGGTTGCGGAGGACAAAAATAACAAATCGGATGAACAATATATATGGGAGCTATAGCTATATCTGAACCGATTTCGATCAAATTTGGTATACTTATTTTCAGGCCTAATTTGGTTGTATGTGCAAAATTCCATACTATTCGGGCTGATATTACACGTTTGGTGCGCAATAAAAGACAAATCGGACGAAAATATATATGGGAGCTATATCTAAATTTTTACCGATTATCTCCAATTTCAATAGGGCTCGTCCCTGGGCCAAACAATTGTTGTTTGGAAAATTTCATCTCAATCGGATAATAAATGCGACCTGCAATTTTTTACAAGAATACATGGACAGACGGACGGACTGACATGCATAAATCAACTCAGAAAGTGATTCTATGCCGATCATCAAGAGGAACTATGGGTCTATCTCGTTTCCTTTTGCCTGTTACAAGCATATGCACAAAAACATAATACCCTGACCACCTTGTGGTGTAGGGTATAAAAATTAAACCGATCTCGATTAAATGTTGCAGAGGTATTTTCGAGCTGTATCTGATGTCCGGCATAAAATATCATTGTTGTGAAAATCCCAAATCGGATGAAACATATATATGGGAGCTATAGCTATATTTGAATCGATTTTCACCAAATTTAATGTAATGCTTCTGGACAAAATTCGGTCACATGTGCCAAAATGCAATCCATTTGGGCTGATATTAGCCAATTGATGCACAAGAAACTTAATATCTGATAAAGATATATATGGGAGCTATATCCAAATCTAAACCGATTTTTTTCTAATTTGCAGAGGTATTTCTGGCCTGTATCTGATATCTGGTACCGAATATAATTCATGTGGAGTGCATATTACGCATGTGAGGGACTTCAACACAAAATCGGATGAAACATATATATGGGAGCTATAGCTATATCTGAACCGATTTTCATCAAATTTGGTGTACTTGCTTCTAGTCTGAATTCGGTCGAATATTGGCCATTTGGTGTACAATTAACCTGGAATCGGTTTATGATATGGTTCAATAGGGTTTGTCCTTAGGCCAAAAATAATTTGTTTTGAAAATTTCATCTCAATCGTATAATAAATGATAATATCCAGCTCTGAATGGATTAGCACAAAATTTTGACGGAGGCATTGGTACATTTCTTGCCTAGTAACATTGCTATAGAGTGCACGATATGACTTCGAAGAAGGATTTTATTAAAACAAATAAGCAAAAGCTATAGTCGGGAGGGACCGACCATTTAATACCCTACAAGACTACAATTGGCAGCAAAGTTTCTGCAGAAGTGAAACCATTTTGATTCATATTCCCATATTTAGCAGTTAAAAAAAGCAAACCTTGAACCTAGTTGATCCTCTTTTCAAATAATCATCATATATCAGGAAACCGTATTTGCCAACCTTGAACCTAGTTGATTCTCTTTTCAAATAATCATCATATATCAGGAAACCGTATTTTCCAACAACATAAGATCTGTAAGATGTTGAAAAGCGGTAAATTCGGCCGGATTGAATACCCTCCACCATTTGTAACGAATTCGTTAATTTTCAAAAAAAAAAAAAAAAACTAATTAATAACTAAATAAAAAGTATAATCCTTTAAAAATTCTGTAAAAAGCTTAAAAACGCCGAATATAAGGAGTTACCTTTATTTTGGGGTCGTAAATCTACAAAGGCAATTTTCTGTCACATTCTGTAGTACCCATTACAAAGTTCAAATACGAAATATGATGCAATTCCGGTGAATAATAAAGCTAAAATCGTTAAAATACTGAATATATTAATGTACTGACATTTAGGGGTTATACGAAGACGAGGATTTGCATAGACAATTTTCTGTTGTAGGCTGTAGTACCCCTTAGGAGCTTCAAGTACAAAATTCGAAACAATTACTTTAAATAATGTCGCTGAAATCAGCAAAATACCGAATATAGGGAGGTACTGTTATGTGGGGGCTCTACCTAAACGTAGACCTATATAGCTAATTTTCAATTCCAAAAATCCTGCAGACGAGACCCACATTTGAGTAATATTTTATCAACCTACTTTAATTCATTCGGAAGCTAGAGTGATTTCCACAGACGGACAGACAGACAGACGGCCATCGTTAAATAGACATAGAATTTTATGCTGATCAAGAATATATATATATACCTTGTTGGGTCTAAAATGTATATTTCGAGGAGTTACAAACAGAATGTAACACTTAATATACCCTCCATACTCTGGTGGAGGGTATAAAAAGGCATCGGTATTTTACGAAGTAAACCTTCCTACTATATTAAATACCAAAACCGTTCTTTCTGAAAGAACAGAAATTTCACATTAATTTAGTTGTAATTTCGCTAATTTTAGTATTTTTTTTTTCAAACAAATGTATGGACCATTTCACTAGCTAAATATTATCCATCCATAACGCTAGGCTTCAGAGCTGTCCCAAAACTCTAACCTCTTAAAAAAATTCCATGTCTATTGGTCTTTAGAGGGGAATTGTAGGACGGCTGCAAAATCTACACCATTTTCAGGTTTTTGATCATATTTAAACTTCAATCATCTTCCAAAGCAATGGGCATCTATTCAGGTAGTAAACCTACCTTACCTACTCCAAAAAAGACTTGACTTGACTCATTTAAAGGTAGCTGATATTATGCATGCATTACATATACATAACCACTGTAGCATATTGCGGGTACGAATTGCGCATTTTAAATACATTACCGGAGTGAATTGTATTTTGAATTCAATATACGAACAAATTTAATAAAGTAACGGTCTATGTGATATGGGTGATATTTTACTATAAATACATAAACTATTTCACAAAACAATATCAAAAGTTCTTTACAAATCCGAACAAACACATCACCAACTTAAATCACCATGTTCAAATTCGTAAGTATTTGCAGTTGTGCTTCAAAGAATATTGACAGCATTAATAAATAATATTTCTTATTTATCTCTTAGGCCGTTGTCCTTTTCGCCATCATTGCCTGTGCTGCTGCCAAGCCTGGTTTGGTTGGTGCTCCTTTGGCTTACACCGCTCCCGCTGCTGTTGTTGCTGCTGCTCCAGCCCCCTTTGTCACTGCCACCAGCAGCCAATATGTTGCCCGTAACTACAATGGTATTGCCACTGCTCCAGTTGTTGCTCCCGTTGCCGCCCCTGTAGTAGCCAAGTCTTTCGCCGCTCCCGTAGCCGCCGCTTACACTGCTCCTGTTGCCGCTGCCTACTCTGCCCCAGTCGTTGCTAAATACGCTGCTACTTATGCTGCTCCTTATGCTGCTCCTTTCGCTTACTCTGCTCCCTTGACATATGGCGCTGCTCCAGTTTTGTTGTAAAATTATTGACTGAAACATGCTGATCTAATTCGAAATAAACTATTAAATAATGAGTTCTAGTATGTGGTGTTATAATTTTTATTAAAGTTTTTTATTAAAGAACTGGAAATGAAGCGAGGAACAATATTTGCCCAATGGAATATTGCGATATGTTTAGCTCACGAGCCATTTTTCGGCCACAGAGACGCGGGGTTCGATCAAGTCGCTTCTTTAAATGCTGGAGTGCTCTAACGATAGCCACTTGTGGTTTTCCAAATATAAAGAAATCACACTATCACGCTTGAATTTCATCACGAATAACTTTTTTTCTAGGAAATTTTCACCAAAATGCTTTTGTACGCTTGTAAACAATATAATGAGCTGTCACTGGAATAATTTTAACAGCTGTCGAACGAGTGCCTTAGACGTGACAGTAGTCTGAAATTGGTTGCAGTTTTTTCATATCAACCTGCATGGAGCTGTAAGATATCGTGGAAAATATTATCTACCTGGCGGTAAAGTACGCAAAGGGAACTTCTTGTGTGGATTCAGACGATTCCATTAAAAATTTGTGACTAAAATCATCAAAATACCGAATATCGGGGCTACCGTTATATGTGGGATATACGATATTGAAGACTGATATAGCCCATCTTTGCACTTGACCTGCTTGCAGACAAAAAACTGATCTGTTCAAAATTTTAGCTTCCTATCTTAATTCGTCTCGAATCTAGCGGAATTACAAAAGACGGACGGACAGGTAACTTGTAAACTTTCGAACGCCGGCACCCGTGTATTCTATTTATAGCTCTACCTGGATAATCTGCTGGATTTTTCATGTTATTCACTGTCTGGGCAGCATAGTGTCAGTCAATTTATTGGAAATTTTATCTTGTCAAATAATAAAGATAGTGTAGAAGCATTCTGAAATTCTGCCGGCGTTTTTCTTAGTAATTTGGCTTAGATAAAGGACAAAATGTTATTTCGTTTTACCTTTACTATACCCTCAGCCATATGGCTAAAGATGGTGTATGTGTTACGGCCAAAACGTGCTTCACCGAAATAATGGTTTTAGATCCTAGGTCTCTTTGGACCAAATCCGTTTCAGAACATTTGGAGTCGATCTAGGGGTACGCTCGGTAACTCTCGAAGGGGGTATCCGATTTGGTCGAAACATAGTACATCTTAATATTATTGTCAAACTTAGATCAAATTAGGGAATGGACAATATCAGTTCACCACTTCTGGCACATCCCCACAAAAGGTCAACATTTTCAAAAACAACATTTTTTGCTTCATTAAAGGGGATTTCTTTCGATTTTGTGCCAACTTTGCAAATCCTAATATATTTGCCAGTGCTAGGTCAGGTGCGAAAATGGATGGTATCGTTCCACTCCATCAAATACCTCTCCCATAAAGGGTCAAAATTTTGCAATATTTATAACTATTTTAAAATGAGAAACTAGAGCTTGATTGTCTTCATTTCACACATCATAATTTATATACCCTCCACAATTCTATGGAGGGTATATTAACTTTGTCATTCCATTTATAACTTCTCAAAATACTCATGAGAGACCCTACAAAGTATAAAGTATTCTGGATCAGCGTAAAATTCTAAGACGATTTAGCAATGTCCGTCTGTCTCTTGAAATCTTTTGAACGAATTGGGATAGAAGGCTAACATTTTGCGCTCGTGTGTATTTTGCCAGTTCGTGAATGGGTCATGTGAGTCCGCATTTTCGTATAGCCCTCATATAACGGTTTCTCCCGATATTCGGTATTTTGATAATATTAGCGATATTATTTACCAGACTTGTTTTGTATTGAAGATCTTAATGGGTATTACTGCCTCTATTACAAAAAATTACATATTCGTATAACTCCCATATAACGGTTTTAATTTAAGCGGCCTTTTTCGAAAATTTTGGAAAATTTTAAAGTTCGGCTCGGCGGACCTTAGCTGCTTTTTTCTTGCTTTTATGTGGTGTGACCGTGGGATATATCGGTTCACTCTTTCTTTGAATTGCCACGAAGTTTCAATGTTGCCATCAACACAAGATCTTTTGTGAATATGGTAGATATCGGCCCACTTTTTTTTTTGTACGACTCCCACAGCATGTTTAAATTTGGATTAACCCCAATTCTCATAAAATGCGAAATAAACATCCGATTCATTCTAAGCTTCACATATTCCAATATTTTCACGAAAGCAAGAAGGAATATATCGGTTCAAGTGAGATGGGAAGATAAATGCATGGGTTCACACCCTCTGGTACCTTCCAAGGTTGAAATGTTTGATTATATCACTCAAAACATGCGAAACAAGTAAGCTTTTCTTTTTATACCCTCCACCATAGCATGGAGGGTATATTAAGTTTGTCATTCCGTTTTCAACACCTCGAAATATACATTTTAGACCCCACAAAGTATATATGCAGGACTTTTGGTATTGAAAATGGTCTATGTATGTCCACGTCTTCGTATAACCCCCATCCATATTCGGTATTTTGTTTCAAATCTGGTATTTGAGGTTCGCAATGGATACTAAAGCCTCAGCCAGAAAATGAGCCACGTGGGTCCACGTTTTCGTATAGCCCCCATATAACGGTACCATCCGATATTAGGTATTTTGATGATTTTAGCGACATTATTTGCCGGAATTGTTTCAAATTTGGTATTTGAAGTTTATAATGGATACTACAGCCTAAGACAGAAAATGAGCCATGTGGGTCCACGTCTTCGTAAAGTCCCCATATAACGGTAGCCCCGATTTTAGCGACATTATTTACCGGAATTGTTTGAAATTTGGTATTTGAAAATCGTAATGGATACTACAGCATATGACAGGAGATTGTCTATGCAGATTCACGTCTTCGTTTAGCCCCCATATAACGGTACCTTCCGATACTCGGTACTTTGGTGATTTTAGCGACATTATTTTTCGGAATTGTTTCAAAATTGGTATTTGAAATCCGTAATGGATACTACAGCCTATGACAGAAAATTGTTTGTGCAGGTCCATGTCTTAGTATTGCGCCCATATAACGGTACCCCCGATATTCGGTATTTTGATGATTTTATCGGCATTATTTACCGGAATTATTTTAAATTTGGTATTTGAAGTTCGTAATGGGTACTATATCCTAAGACAGAAAATAAGCCATGTAGGTCTACGTCTTCTTATAGCTCCAATATAACGGAATCCCCGATATTCGGTATTTTGATGATTTTAGCGACAATATTAACCGGAATTGTTTCAAATTTGGTATTTGAAGTTCGCAATTGATACCACAGCCTAAGACAGAAAATGAGCCATGTAGGTCCACTTCTTCGTATAGGCCTCATATAACTATAGATGTTACATAATTTTTGGCCCAACACATAGTGTTGTAGGGTATGAAGACACAACACCAAACATTATTAGAACCAAAATGTTCGAACTTTTGTAATTTTCAAAAATAATACTGAATTTCTATTTGTTTAAACTAACTATTCCATTTTCGTATATGTGCTCCAACATAAACATATAAGTGTGTATGTTAAACATTTTGATTAGCCTTAAAGGTGGGAATTTCGCATTAGAGCAAATTAGCTGTTATGACACGTACCAAATACATAACACGAACATTTTATGTTTCAGAGTAATTGATTAACTATTTTCCACTATAAATAGTTTCCCATATTTGGAATTCAGTATCAGAAGTTTTTTACTTGTCCGAGTAAACATATTCGGCAAATAAAACAAACCAAAATGTTCAAATTCGCCGTTGTCATTTTCGCTTTCATTGCCTGCGCTGCTGCCAAGCCCGGTTTGATTGGTGCCCCTTTGGCCTATACCGCACCCGCTGCTGTTGTTGCTGCTGCTCCTGCTCCATTTGTCACTGCCACCAGCAGCCAATATGTTGCCCGTAACTACAATGGTATTGCCACCGCTCCAGTTGTTGCTCCCGTTGCTGCCCCTGTTGTTGCCAAGACTTTCGCCGCTCCAGTAGCCGCCGCTTACACTACACCTGTTGCCGCTGCCTACTCTGCCCCTGTTGTGGCCAAATACGCTGCTCCCTTGGCCTACTCCTCCCCCTTGACTTATGCTGCTGCTCCTGCCCCAGTTTTCTTGTAAAATTATGAGGCTGATTGTAAAATGAAAAATAAACGAAGTACCTGAAAAAATTGATTTATTGCTTTTATTCTATTGGGCATTGTGTTTTTAAAAAAATTCACAAAAAGAAATTATTTCTTGAACAGACCAAAAAAAAATTCTGGGGCTTTTGAGAACTAAAGAAAAATTTTCTGAGAGAAGGTGCCTTCCAAAAAAGAATTTTTTTCACGACTCGCACTCTAGAATGTGCTTTGAAAAAATAAAAGTTTTTTGAATATGTGATCCTTATCGAACTATTATAGATCAATTTGAAAGTTGTTGATGACAAATTCTCTGCACTTATTTGAGAGAGGTGGCATAAGAATTAAACCTATATTATTTCTTTTTCGCACAAAATCTAAAAAAAATGTGCGAAAAAGAATTTTGGTGGCTTTATGTTTCTATTTCTTTAAACTGTATGTCATAATGATTTATATACAGGGTGGGATAAAAACAACTGCAAAAAAGTCAAACGGTTTTATTTTACCATTTTCTGTTTTTTTTTTTATTAAATAAAAGCAAAAAATGTCGGAAATAGCATCAAATTTTAGAATAAGTTTAGATTTGTTCGAATTGATAACCTTTGAACCTTTGATTGCAGGATATATATGCTAAAGGATTTATGAAAATTCGAACATTAAGGTTACGAAAAGTTCTAAAATGGTAACATTTGGTATTGTACGAACAGATAGAGCTAAACACTTAAAAATTTGGTATGAGAATCAAGGTTGGAAAGGAAGTTTGATATATGGTAAGTGATTTTGAAGATTTGTACTAAGTGTACGAACTGTACTTAATTGTACTAAATTTAGAACAGTTTGGTTCAGGGTGAACGGATAAAGCTGGAATTCTGAAATTTTGTATTGGGGTCCCGGATGTAAGTTTGTGATAAAGAGGTGGTTTCGGAAATGTGTACAACAAGTGCAGTAAAAGTACTAAATAGTACTATATTTTGGTCCCATTTTGGATTAGGTGAAGAGAAAGGTGTTTGAAATCTTAAATTTGATATTATGTCGCTGTACATGTACGTGGTACTAAATGGTACTATATTTGGTATTGGTATAAAATTCTGAAATTTGATATTAGGTAACTGATGATATTTGTGCTTGAGATGTGGCATTGGTTTGGAAATGCGTCCTATATTTGTACGAAAAGAACTAAATGGTACGAAATTTGGTAATGTATGAAAGGATAGGGCTGGAATCTTCGAACTTGACATTGAGGTTTCTATTGGTATCAGGGTTTGAGCGATATGGAGGTGGTTTTGGAAATATGTACTTTAATTGTACGAAAAACTAAATGGTACTAAATTTGATATAGGGTGAATGGACAGGCCTGGAAACCTCAAATTTTATAATGAGGTCTCTGTTGGTATATATCTGGAATTTAGATACGGAAATTGCTTTGAAAATGTGTACTATAATTTGACGATTAGAACTAGACGGTATTTATTATTCATCACTATTCGCATTTAGGATACATATGAAGGTTGTTTTGGATATGAGTACAAAAGCGTACAAAATATAGAGCTGAAATTCTGAAATTTGATATTGAGGTCACTCTTGGTTTCAGGGGTTTACACATGGAGACCTTGAAATGGTTTTGGACAGACACATTGCATGAGGGTCTACTGAACAATGGTTTCACTAATATCCTCCTCTGTAAACTTGAAATGATGACATTTTGGATTGAAAGATAAATATTTTTCTATTATTTTTTTAAGTAAAAATTTGAAAAGTTTTGATTAAAAAATGTTGGCAAACTTAAAAAATTATGGATTTTGAGTACTAACGAGTAAAAAAACATTAAGTTCGGCCGGGCCAAACTTTTAATACCCTTCACCTTAGGGTAAAAGAAACATTAGAAGAAATGTGTCAAAAACCATTAAAATGCCGAATATCGGGAGGTACCGTTATATGGGGGCTACACCAAAACATGGACCTATAATTACAATGTTTCGCCACACGAACTAGGACCCATTATGACCCACAAATACCACTTTTTAGACAAATCAGTGAAAAAATGTGGCAAAAACCATCAAAATACCGAATATCGGGAGGAACCGTAATATGGGGACTATATCAAATCATGGACCCATGCATGCATTGTTTCGCCACCGAAGCTGGAACCCATTATGACCAACAAATACCAATTTTCAGACAAATCCGTGAAAAAATGTTGCAAAACTCATCAAATTACCGAATATCGGGAGGTACCGTTATATGGGGGCTATACCAAATCATGGACCCATACATGCAATGTTTCGCCACCGGAGCTGAAAACCATTATGACCCACAAATACCAATTTTTAGACAAATCCGTGAAAAAATGTGGCAAAAAAAAACTAAAATACCGAATATCGGGAGGTATATTTATATGGGGGCTATACCACAACGTGGACTTATACATACAATGTTTTGCCACACGCTCAGGGACCCGTTATGACCTACAAATACCGATTTCCAGACAAATCCGTGAAAAAATGTGGCATAAATCATCAAAATACCGAATATCGGGAGGTACCGTTATATGGGGACTATACCAGAACGTGAACCGATATATCTCATTTTCAATACCAACCATCCTAGACACAATGCAAATAGCTCTGCTAAATTTTGTCGCTCTACGTTAAATAATGTGGGCTGTATCGTGATTTCAACAGACAGGCGGACAGACAGACAGACGGACATCGTTAAATCGAATTTTATGCTGATTATGAATATATATACTTTATGCGGTCTAAGACGAATTTTTTAAGGATGTTACAAACGGAATGACAATGTTAATATACCCTCCTTTCCAAGGTGGAGGGTATAAAAAGACCAAACACGTACTGTTGGAACTAATCTGAAATTTTAAGCTAGACTTTTTTGAGAATTTTTATGGGAATATATTTTTAATTTATTTTTTTTTTTATATTCAGGGAAAATAAATATTTCTTATCATTTGTAACTTAAAGTGAAATTAAATGAGGAATATTATAGTCCCGTACGCCATCATTCTAAAATTATGCCTGGTGGGAGATTTTTGCATAAACATAAGCATAATAAAGCACTGCTTAACCCTAAAATATATTTTTTTGTATACGAACTCCTGACGTTTATGATTACTGATTTTAAATGCAAAAAACTCAATGTTAATGTTTAAATTATTATAATACTTTATTTTTCATTTCGTTAATATCGTGACTTATCGGAAACAGTTTTTACAACAAAACTGGAGCTGGAACAGCAGCATAGGTCAAGGGGGCGGAGTATGCAAAAGGAGCAGCATAGGTGGCAGCGTATTTGGCAACAACGGGGGCGGAGTAAGCAGCAGCAACAGGAGCAGTGTAAGCGGTGGCTACTGGAGCGGCGAAAGTCTTGGCAACAAGAGGAGCAGCAAAGGTCTTCGCTACAACAGGGGCGGCAACAGGGGCAACAACTGGAGCGGTAGCAATGCCATTGTAGTTACGGGCAACGTATTGGCTACTGGTGGCAGTGACAAATGGAGCTGGGGCAGCGGCAACAACAGCAGCGGGAGCGGTGTAAGCTAAAGGAGCAACTAATCCGGGCTTGGCAGCAGCACAAGCGATAACAGCGAAAATGACAACGGCCTAGAGTATTGCAAAGACAAACAAGTTTAACTCTTAGTACCTTACACAAATTTTTGAATTAGCTTACTTACGAATTTGAACATTTTGTTTTTTTTAGTTAGATTTGAAATGTGATTACTCCGATTAAAAGAGAACAACTGATATTGAATTTAGAATGAATTCGGTTTTATATATCCATCCATCGCCCACTGTCATTGAATAACATCACAGTGCTTGTCAGCTGGAGAATTGTATGCGACTAACATAAACATTGTTTGCTCTAATTAAAATTCATGGCACATTAAAGTGGTCTTGAATATAAACATAGGATTTAAAATGTACTATTATTACCCATAGAGTAATCGGACCAAGAGAAAACCTCTAACTGTTTTATAGGAGACTGTCTATTTTATTGTCTATGTATTTGTTCTATAAGGACTGCAACTGAAAAATGCAAACTTCTACAATAAAAAAGAAAAGAAATGACAAAGAAAAAAACAATTAAAAAAATTAAGTTCGGACGGGCCAAACTTTTAATACCCTCAACCTTGGGGTAAAGGAAACATTAGAAGAAACGTGGCAAAAACCATTAAAATGCCGAATATCGGGAGATACCATTATATGGGGGCTATACCAAATCGTGTACCTACACATGCAATGTTTCGCCAACGGAGCTAGAACCCATTATGACCTATATATACTAATTTTCAGACAAAATGTGGCAAAAATCATTAAATTACCAAATATCGGGAGGTACCGTTATATGGCAGCTATACCAAAACGTGGACCTATAATTACAATGACTCGCCACACGAACTGGGACCCATTATGATCTACAACTACCAATTTTCATAGAAATTCGTGAAAAAATGTGTCAAAAATCATTAAAATACCGATTATTGGGAGGTACCGTTATATGGGGACTATACCAAAACGTGGACCCATACAGGCAATGTTTCGCTACCGGAGCTGGAACCCATTATAACCTACAAATACCAATTTTTAGACAAATCCGTGAAAAAATGTGGCAAAAATAATCAAAATACCGAATATCGGGAGGTACCGTTATATGGGGGCTATACCAAATCGTGGACCCATACAGGCAATGTTTTGCCGTACACGTACAGGGACCTGTTATGACTTACAAATACCAATATTCAGACAAATCCGTGAAAAAATGTGGCAATAACCATCAAAATACCGAATATAGGGAGGTACCGTTATATGGGGACTATACCAGAACGTGGGCCGATATATCTCATTTTCAATTCCAGCCATCCTGGACACAATATAAATTGCTCTGCTAAATTTTGGCGCTCTACATCAAATAATGTGGGCTGTATCGTGATTTCAACAGACAGACAGACAGACGGACATCGTTAAATCGACTTAGAATTTTAAATATATGATCAAATAAATATCCTGCAAACTATGTCGCTCATGCCTCTCAATAGAGAACATTTGCGCGAATTACTTTTCCCCATTGAGAAAATATCAAATAAATAGTGAACTGCATTCCTCAATTAATTTAACTCACACAATTTCCGAGCGTCGTCACGAACCTACCCCAATTTTCAAATAATCATCGAAGTGGACTGTGTGAAACGTTTATCAGTTTTGTTGAATAGATCACTTCCAGCAAGGTTTCCGAATTACTGTATATTTTATTGCTAGCGTATTAAACGGATTTCAATATACTTTAATTTTAATTACAATAAAGAAATGTTGTTTTAATTGTTTTTATACCCTACAACACTATGTGTTGGGGGTATTATAAGTTTGATTGGGCCAACAATTATGTAACACCTCGAAATATAGGTTTCCCACATAGGAAAGTATATATGGATCTTCCTATCTCGCCGAGCTGAGTCGTTCTAGCTATGTATGTCCGTCCGTCCGTCCGTCCGTCCGTCCGTCCGTCTGTCCGTCTGTCCATGTTAATTTGAAATCAAGCTACAGGTCGCAATTATGAGCCGATCCTCCCGAAATTGAAAATAGAGGTGGGGTTATGGTCAGAATAGAACCCTATGGATTTTGGAGATGATTGCACTATATTTAGGGGTTGAAATGGACCAACCCCTCTATTGCTCTATAGGCCACTAATATGAACCAATCGACGCGAAAATTTACATGGAGCTAGAGTTTAGGAGTGGGCAGAAAAATACCAATTTGGACAACAATTAGTGGGTAAAATAGAGCCTAACTTTTATGTAAGAAAATAAGAAAATGTCCACTAAACCGCGAATATTTTCAATCTCAGCCAAATAACATTGATCAGCAAAGAGCCAAGAAATCGGATATATAGCAGAATAGATACAATATATATACAAAAGAATTGATCTTATTTATTCTGCTAAAAAATCAAGAACCGCTAAAAATTCTCATCAATTCGAAATGGTCTCTTGCCACAAAACGATAAAATCTAAGAAAATCGCGGAAAAATATGCCAATAAAAAAGTGAACATCATTTGTAGATTTTTTTTTCAATTTTTGTCATATTTGTTATCGCATGCGATTTTTTCGATTTGACTTAAAATTTTGAATTGTAAATTCTCTAAATTTTTACAAAAATTTTTAAAAAATTATTTTTTTCTAATTTTGTAGTCGCTCTATGGGCCAAAATTGAAAACTAATCGACACGGAATTTCGCATCGGAAGTGAGTTAAGCACAAGGAAGAAGTCTAGCATTTTGGATGACCATTGAATTATATTTAGCTGAAATTGTTTTGAAGGATTAACAACACTACAGAGTGCGCAAATATTGGCCAAATTCTCAGGGTCAAAAAACTAAGGGCAACCTCAGGGCGGGGCTATTATTATGACATTATTTCAAACACCAAATTTTCCAAAATCGATTTCAATGTAAGGGGACTTCAAACATATTGTAGTGTTGTAGGGTATCACATGGTCGGTCCCGCACGACTATAGCATTTGCTTACTTGTTTTTTATACCCTACACCACAAGGTGGTCAGGGTATTATGTCTTTGTGCATTTGTTTGTAACAGGCAGAAGGAAACGAGATAGACCCATAGTTCCTTTTGATGATCTGCATAGAATCACATTCTGAGTCGATTTATGCATGTCCGTCCGTCCGTCTGTCCATGTATTTTTGTAAACAAAGTACAGGTAGCATTTGTTGTCCGATCCAGATGAAATTTTGCAAAGATCTTTTGTTTGGCCCAAGGACGAACCCTATTGAAATTGGATAATCGGTCAAAATTTTGATATAGCTCCCATATATATCTTCGTCCGATTTGCCCTTGTATATCTTCGTCCGATTCGGGCTGATATTACACGTTTGGTGCACAATACCAAACGTGTAATATCAGCCCGAATTGTATGGAATTTTGCATATACACCCAAATTAGGCCTGAAAATATGTATGCCAAATTTGATCGAAATCGGTTCAGATATAGCTATAGCTCCCATATATATTGTTCATCCGATTTATTATTATTTTTGTCCACGGTCGCCGTAATATGCACTATGCAACAACAATATTTGGGGAAATATATCAAATACAGCTCAGAAATACATTTGCTAAATTTTATCGAGATCGGTTCAGATTTGGATATAGCTCTCATATATAATTTCGTCCGATTTACCTTTGATTGTGCACCAAACGTCTAATATTTGGCCAAATTGAATGAAATTTGGCACTTACGACCGAATTGAGTCTAGAAGCTAGCATGTCAAATTTGGTGAAGATCGGTTCAGATATAGCTATAGCTTCCATATATATTATTCATCCGATTTGTTATATTTGTTACCCACAACCGTAATATGCACTCCGTAACAACGATATTCAGGGAAATATATCAAATACAGCTCAGAAATATCTTTGCCAAATTTTATCGAGATCGGTTCAGATTCAGATATAGCTCCCATATATATCTTTATCCGATTTCAAATTAATTGTGCACCAAATGGGCAATACAATTCCGAATTTAAAAGATACCAATGCTTCGGCATATTTAGTCCTTTGAACGTTAAATTATAATTATAATCATAGCGTGTAAGATTGAATTCTCCCATAAAAACTTTTAATTGTTATGTGGAGCTCTACTTAATTAGCAAAGTGGTGTAGGGTATCATAAAGTCGGCCCCGCCCGACTTTAAGACTTTCTTTACTGGTTAATATATATGTACATTTTTATACCCTACAACATTATGCATTGGGGTTATTATAATTTTGATCGGACCAAAAATTATGTAACACCTCGAAAGATTGGTCCTCGGCATAGGAAACTATATATGGATCATCATATCTCGCCGAGCTGAGTCGATCTAGCAATGTATGCCCGTCTGTCCATGTTAATTTGTAATCACGCTACAGGTCGCATTTATTGCCCGATCCTCACGAACTTAAAAATGGAGGTGGGGTTAGGGTCAGAACTGAAGCCCATAGCTTTTTGGAGATGATCGCAAAATACTTAATGGTTGAAATTTGCCAAAAACAGACAAATAACCTGAATTTGCTGTTGCTCTGGCCACAATTTTGCATGGAGTTAGAGTTCAAGGCTGAGCTGGGCAGAAGCCTGCCAATTTGGACGGCCATCGGACAATATTTAGCGGGTAAAATAAATCATAACTTTTATGTAAAAAAATACGAAAATTACGAAATAAAAGAAATCGATCTTAGTTATTCGGCTTATAAGTCAAGAACCGCTGGACTGATTTTCACAATTCTCATCAATTCTGGCTGGTCTCTTGTCAGAAAAGGATAAAATCTAGCAAAATGGCTTAAAAATTTGACACTAAAACGTAAATATTTTTTTGTAATATTTTTTAAATGTTAGTCATATTTTTTATCGCGTGTGATTTTGAATTCCAATTCTGAATTTACATTTCCTGAAGTTTTTCTACACCCTGCAACACTATGTGTTGAGGGTATTATATACAGGTCGCAATTATCTCCGATCCTTACGAAATTGTGCAAGGGGATAGGGTTAGGGTCAGAATTAAATTCTTTTTGAATATGTGCATTAAGGACTTCAAATGGACAAAAGAACTACCTACCTTACAGGTCACAATTGAAAACCAATCGACATACAATTTCGCATAAGAAGAGAGTTAAGGAGAGGGAAGAAGTCTAGCATTTTGGCTGACCATTGCATTTATCTGTAAATTGTTTTGAATACCTAACATCACAACGGAGTTAGTAAATATTGGGCAAATTTCCCCGGTCAAAAACCTATGGGCAACATTTGGCCAGTGCTCTATGACATAATTTCAAGAACGAAATCTTCCAAATGGATTTGTTTATAAGGGGGCTTTCAACATATTGTAGAGTTGTAGGGTATCATATGATCGGCCCCACACGTCTATAGCCTTTGATTACTTCTTTGAAATAAGGGTAATAAGGGTATTAAAAATGTTGTTTAAAAACATAAAATTATTATTTTATTTATTTTAATTGATAGACCGTTTCATTTGAAAATTATTTCATGAATATTTCGTACATTCTCACACCTGGCATTTTACTGATAAAAATAATAATAGGAGCCTCGTGTTATTTCCCGTTGAAAAAAATTGATGATGCTGTCTATTTTTATGAGCTAAATTATTTTCTTTAAAAATGATGACCTTTTGTGGGGGAGGTAACAGAAAGAGTGGGTCTTCCCATCTGCTAACCCGATCTAAGTATGATAATATCATTACGAAATAACAAGTTTGGTCAATATTGGATAGTTTCTTCGAAAGTTAAATTGCCCACAAGACATACAAATGGACAGACGGACACCGCTAGATGTATGTCAAATGTCTTCAAGCCGATTTCTTTAAAAAAGGACCTATTGTATCACCATATCAAATATCCATAAATAAGTCTGAAGGTAGAAAAAACCATGCGGCATCACCTATAGCAATTTGATATACACACACACAGGTATAACGACATAAGCTAATATATCGAAAAATAAATGCTGTTCGGAATTAACAAACACGTTCAACTATTATTTCTCTCACGTACAACCAATTATGTGTAGGTATTTATGAAGATTGTTTAACTAAATAATCATTCATGCTATAAATACTTTACTATTTCCCATCTTGTGTATCAAACTTTTTTTACTTATCGGAGTAATCACATTTATCGATTAAACTCAATCAACATGTTCAAATTTGCCGTTGTCCTTTTCGCTATTATTGCCTGTGCCGCTGCTAAGCCTGGTTTGGTTGGTGCTTCTTTGGCTTACACCGCTCCTGCTGCTGTTGTTGCTGCTGCCCCAGCTCCATTTGTCACCGCCGCCAGTAGCCAATATGTAGCCCGTAACTACAATGGCATTGCCACCGCTCCAGTTGTTGCTCCCGTTGCCGCTCCTGTTGTAGCCAAGACTTTTGCTGCTCCTCTTGTTGCTAAGACTTTCGCTGCTCCAGTAGCCGCCGCTTACACTGCTCCTGTTGCCGCTACTTACTCTGCCCCAGTTGTTGCCAAATACGCTGCCACCTATGCTGCTCCATTCACCTACTCTGCACCCTTGACCTATGCTGCCCCAGCTCCCGTTTTGCTGTAAACAAACAAAAAATCCTATTGGTATCGATGTGATAGAAATAAATATATAAATTACTAGCTGGCCCGGTCCGCGTTGCCGGCCCGTAGTTTTTGTCTATTATACATATTTGTCAAAGCATAATTATTCAAAGATATGAATGTTATAAATGTTCACGTACTGGTCGATTAGTTTTTAATGTTTAGTCAAATGAGCAGTAATTTGGAATTTACTGTACTTTGTACATCTCATAATTGAGGGCTAATTGATTTAAGAATATCCAAAGTTAATTACTTTTTTAAACCTCACCTTAGTCCTCATAAGTCCCCCTAACCATGTCGGCCTGTTTGTCCGCCAAAAGGTGGACTTGAGGGGGTACTATTACATGGAGAAAATTCTAAAATTTGTAGATATGTTGAAATTTTTATGTAAGATTTTCACCCCCCAAATATACATTTTTAGCCAAATCCTTTGAAATATGGTAAATTGCGAAACATCGACCTACATTGAAAACTTTCTTTACCCCTTATAATCCAAGATGACAAATAGAGGCCAAATCGAAAATATAGCAGAACAACATAGCATGTCAAACTGAAAAAAAATCACGTGATTTAAATAAGTAAAAATAGGTTTATCCACCTCATAATTGAGGTCGGACTAATTTCAGAATAGTCAAATATAATTACTATTTTACACCCATTACCGTAATATGGAAACTAATTTTATTTGTCATTTAAATTGTAAATTGGAGTCCCCATAAAGTCCATATTTTTCATCATAGTATAATTCAATGACGATTCAACAAATATTCGGTCCCGTGCTACTTTCTTATATTTGTAATTTGTTCATGCTTTTACAATTTTTTTTCATATAGATGTATATCCCAAATTTACGTTCCCAACCAATATTCTCTTGGGGGTTACAAATTCAATAGAATACAAATTTTTCTTTTCTGACCACACATTAGATGTGAAAGTGGACTTGGGGATACTCCAATGTGGAGACTTTACATGAATAAATTTCTATGTGGCAATTATCTGTACGATGGTTCCTTACCCCAGGGTAGCATAAATACAATTTTTTAGTGGTCAAGACCAATATGGGCCCTACTCCGAAAATTTTATGCGAAGAGGTTCTCTACCCCCTTAGAAACAAAGATGCCAAATAAGGGCCAAAAATAGAAGAAAGTGGCGAAGACTCCAAAAATGGCTTAAATCATACGATGGTTATTTATGATCGATATCATGACCTGCAAAAGCGATTTAAGGTATCTTAAATGTTCAGGAAGAATTTTTGGAAGGATAGAAATCTTTTTCTTACTAAAAGTCCCATTTGCTCTATTTATATTTGGTATTTTACTGATTATACTCCCAAAATTTTTTGCATTTTGAGCTCTCATTGGACGGATTATTGTCACATGAAAGAAGTAGGGCCACGCTTTGATATAAGCCCCATTAGTATTTTTCGGTCATTTTTGTTTGTTTAAATGTCTGCGCATCTTCCAGCTGAAGCACGATGTAGGCCCTGGAGTTGAAAGGTAGATGTTAGTTACCATCGTATTTCGCACTTATTTCATTTTGTTGGTGAAAAATTTTATATAGTGAAAAATAATTCTTTATTTTGTTTACAAAAAATCCACTGAATTCAATATGGTATTACAAATTGAAAAAATCGACAAAAGAAGAATAACAAATAGAAAAAATCTTCAACTTGTTCGCTGATTTTTTACAGCAACTGTTTAAAGATCCTTACAAAGTTCGTCAATAGAATGTACTTTTATTTTAAAATTCAATTCCATTGGAAATTTTTTTTCGATATTTTCCCGTTTTGAGAATTGTTGCAATGAGATATCTTTTTCCGTGATTTTTTTTAGCGATTTTGAAAACGTAATTATCTTTTAACTTTGGTGTGACCGCATTAAATTATTTCGGTATCATCTATTCCGTTTCGCCACCACATAATTCGGTACTACACTTCCATGTAACCCGCCATCAATTTCAGTTCTCAAGAAATCAAGTCATTAATATTCGAATTCAAAAATCTATATATATAAATGTAAGTTGTGTTAGTTACTACGCTTATAACTCAAGATCCGCTGATCCGATTTTAACGATTCATACAAATTCGGAATTGTCTCTTTTCCGAAAAGGATAATATTCAAAAAAAATCGCGTAAAAATGTGATATATTAACATTTTCATTTTGACTTTTGAAATGTACAATAGTAATGTTTTATTTTGCATGATTTTTTTTCCATTTTGACTTACTTTTTTCTAATGTACATTTGTAGTGTTTTTTTTTATATTTTTTTTTAATTCGAATATTAATACCAATTTATTTAATTGACTTGATTTCTTGAGAACTGAAATTGATGGCGGGTTGCATGGAAGTCAGTCAAATGAAATAGTGGAGCAAATTGAAAATTTGGAAAGAAAAGGATACATTTCCTCGGAAAATTCTTCCGAAACCTTAAAAGTAACCTTAACTCCCATGAAACGTTATACGGTGACTATGCGCTATCATCAGTAGTCAGTTTGGTTGGTACATAACAATCCCAAAAAGGGGGGATCAAACGTTTTTAGGGTCCATTTTATATAGTTTAACCAAACACAAAGGGCCTCAAATATTTTGCTCTATACTTCGCAAAAGTTACCATAGAGTTTTAAATTTTTCCTAGGGGTTTCATGAATAATCAGTTGTTCAAAATATATATCAGATGTATATCAAATGTTGGTAATTTGAGATTTTAAGAAGAACAACACATTTTTTCAAATAATTATAAGAATAGGACCATGCTTTGGTATAACCCTTATATGTGGACCTATTTCTTTCATATTACAATAATCCGCCCAATGAGAACTCAAAATGCAATTCATTGGAATTGCAATCAGTGAAATACTGAATATAAAGGGTGCAAAATGGTAGAGCGAATTGGACATTTAGGAAAAAAAAAAACTTTCAAGATATCTTAAATCGCTTTTGCAGGTCACGATATATGACCCCCGGATAAGGGTACACTCCTTTTTCAAGTATAGTTTACATTTTAACCATATTTTACTCATACGCATTTTAGCAAAAGTTGGTAATTTGAGAAGAAACCATCCTCGCAAAAAATGATCACGTTTTGGTATAACCATTATATAATTTAAGCTATATTCGGGGTTTTCGACATTTTTCTTTCATTTTTCAGGCCTTTATTTGGCATCTTTGTTTCTACGGGTGTAAAAAACCTCTTCTCATAATATTTTGACTTTTGGAGTAGAGTCCATCTTGGTCTTGATCACATTCATCAATTGATTTGGCTAAAAAAACTGGGATAGAGAATCGTCTTACAGATAATTGTCCACATAGGCATTTATTTGAGTATAGTTCCCACATTAGTGTACCCGCAAATCCACCTTCCTAACCAATGTTTGGTCAGAAAAAAAATTTGGTATACTATTGAATTTTTAACTCTCAAGAGAATATTGGCTGGGAACGTAGATATGGGATGTACGTCTACATGCTTTGATCTCCGAAATATCAAATTGAGGCAGAAACATGAAAAAATCACGAATATTATTTTTTGGATCGTTATTGAATTATACTATGAAGAAAAATATGGACTTTATGGGTTTTCCAACACACAATTTAAATGACAAAAATAAATTAATTCCTATCTTAAGGTAATGGGTGTAAAAGACCAATTATCATGGACTATTTTGAAATCATTCAGATCAGTGTTCTATAATGCCTTAAAAAATATGCATTAAAAACTAAAAGTAGGGGCCGGCAACGCGGACCGGGCCAGCTAGTAAAATATAAAAAACACTACAAATGTACATTAGAAAAAAGTATGTCAAAATGGAAAAAAATCATGCAAAATAAAACATTACTATTGTACATTTCAAAAGTCAAAATGAAAATATTAACATATAACATTTTTACGCGATTTTTTTCGATATTATCCTTTTCAGATAAGAGACAATTCCGAATTTGTATGAATCATTAAAATCAGTTCAGCGGTTCTTAAGTTATAAGCGTAGTAACTAACACAACTTTCATTTATATATATAGATTAAGTATTTAAAAATGAAAAACGTGATTTTCAATGTAAATTAAAATCAATTTGTTATGTTGTAGAATTTAAACAAGAAGCGTCTCATTAAGGTTTTAGAATTCCTACTTAAAATTGTGTGACGAGTTATCAGTATAACCATATCCGTCCGTCTGTCCGTTTGTAGAAATTACTTTAAAGCAGACCGGAAGCAGGTTGATAAAAATGTAATTAAATATATATTAGAAATTTCTTGATTGTAGGATCAAAAACGTTTGAAAAAAAAACCAGAAAATGCATCGAACGAATATGGACTTTATGGATTTTTTAGAAGTAAGTTGCAATAACTCTCCACCAGAATTTAGCTTTATAGAAATGTGGGTAATGTGTCACTATTTTTGTAATTTTTTTTCTGGAATGTGTAATCTATTTCTCAAAAGTCTTGTCGCCCTAACTTCAATTTAAAAACAAGTAAGCAAAGGCTATAGTCGTGCAGGGCCGACCATGTGATACCCTACAACACTACAATATGGTAGAAGTCCCCTTATCTCCAAATCCATTTTGGAAGATTTCGCTTTTAAAATTGAGTTATAGAGCTCTGACCATAGCACTTTGACAGGGACATTTGCCCAATATTTAAGTTATTACTTTACTATATTTACTCCGTTGTGCTGTCACTTACAGCTAAATATAATCCAATGATCATCGAAAATGCTAGACTTCTTTCCTGTCCTTAACTCTCTTCTTAGGCAAAGTTCCGTGTCGATTGATTTCAATTATATGATCAGGAAAATTTTTTGTTTTTGGTTCATTTGATCCCCTAAATATTTTCCAATCATCTCCAAATGCAAAAGGTAACTACAAAAATAGTGGCCCATAAACTGGTCCTAAACTCTAACTTCAGGCAAGATTTCGTGTCATTTGGTTTCTATTTGTGACCTTTGCAAAATCAGGAACATTTTTAGTTGTTGGTCCATTTCAACACCTAAATAAATTGCGGACATCTTTGAAAACAAGCCCTTCTAAACCTAACCCTAGCCTAGTGAAAATTTTCGTAAGTATCGGACGATAATTGCAATATGTATATAATAACCCTAACCTGTGTTGAAAGGTGAAAAAATATTACAAAATGTATACTTCAATATTATAAGTCAAATTGAAAACATCGCATGCGATAAAAATATGAAAAAACAAGTAAGCAAAGGCTACAGTCGAGCGGGGCCGACCGTTGAATACCCTACAACACTATAATAAATGATACATTTTATATAGGCAAGATACTCGAAAGAATTCCACAAGATATAGTGGCAAATAATATAAGAAAAATATCAGGTTTCGTTCTCTAATTTTCGAATAATAGCAACTTACACTAATTTCCTCATTTCCAATTTATTGGTAAATGGTCTTCCTAGATCTGGAACCAATATTTCCCAAAGACCTATAATCTCTCAGAAGTGGGAAAAAATTAACATTTATTATTTTTTTTTTTTGACTGAAACGCATCTATATGAGATACAGACATTTGACTATATTCTTCAACGATATCAGCGTTAACGAAATAGTCAGAAGTGCGTCTTTCCTGTATTTGTGAATTCTCCAAAAAGCCACTGGAATGGACATTTTCGTATTTTGTCTACAAAAGTAGGCAAACTCCTTCACACATTGAATATTTTTGGATGGCCATCCAAAACTGCTTGGCTTTTGCAATGTCCGGTAACCCCCATTCAAATGTGCGTGAGGACCGGGCGATAATTACGACCTGCTGACAATTTTGCAGTTTTTGGTCCATTTCAACCCCTAAATATATGGCGATCATCTCCAAAAAGAGTAGGCTTCTATTCTGACCCTCATCTTATCCCCATGCAAAATTTCGTAAGGTTCGGGCCATAAATGCGATCTGTATATGATATCCTGATATCCTAACTACTTAGTTTTGTTAGCTGTACAAATATTACCAAATGTTTAATTCAAAATGAAAATATGCCAAAAATATGACAAAATTGAAAAAATATGAGAAAATTTTACAAAATCAATATTTTCATCTTTAGAGAGACATTTTTATGCGATTTTTTTAGAAGTTTTTTCTTTCCTGCCAAGAGGCCATTCTGAATTAATGAGAACAGTCGAAATCAGTTCAGCCGTTCTCGACATATATGAGATCTTTCAAGCATATCTTCTTTGATAGACATATATATCGCAAATATTTTTCTATATATCCGATTTGTTGGATCTTAATATCAATGTGAAGATCAGAAGTAACCTTGTCATGGCTTTGGATTTCGCCGGGATTTAAAATATTCGCGGTTTAATGAAAAATTTTGAATTTTTTCAACAAAAAAGATATGGTCTATTTTACCCGCTAAATATTATCCGATGACCACCCAAATTGGTAGGCTTCTTCCCCGCCCTAAACTCTAGCCACATGCGAAATTCCGTCGATTGGTCTATAATTGCGACCTGTATAGCTACTGCAAAATCCGACATTTTTTCAGTATTTGGTCCATTTCAACCCCTAAATATTATGCGATCATCTTCAAAAGAAATAGGGTTCTATTCTGACCTTAACCCCACCGCCATTCTAAATTTCGTGAAGATCGGGCCATAATTGCGACCTGTAGAGTGATTACAAATTAACATGGACAGACGGACAGACGGACGGACGGACATACATAGCTAGATCGACTCAGCTCGGCGAGCTAGGAAGATCCATATATACTTTCCTATATGGGAAACCAAAATTTCGAGGTATTACATAAATTCTGGCCCAATCAAACTTATAATACCCCCAACACATAGTGTTGTAGGGTATAATAAAAAAAGGTCACAAAATCAATATTAACATCATTATTGACATCTTTTTACGCGATTTTTTTTTTTTGATTTTATATTTTTATGCCAAGAGGGCATTCTGAATTGACAAAATTTGTCAAAATCGGCCCAGCCATTCTTAGGATATAAGCATTCTAGCTAACATCCCTTTCCTTTGTATATACACATTGTATAAATTTCGCTATATATATCCGATATATTTACTATCGGCATCGACGTAACGGTCAGAATTGACCTATTCATCTGTTTGTGATTTCGTCGGGATTAAAAATTTTCGCGGTTTAATGGAAAATATGACTTGCATTTAACACAAATGTTATGGTCTATTTCACCCACTAAATATTACCCCATGACCACCAAAATTGGAAGGCTTCTGCCTAAATATTATGCGATCATCTCCAAAAGAAATAGGGTTCTATTCTGATCATAACCCCACCACCATTTTCAATTTCGTGAGGATCGGACTATCATTGCGACCTGTAGAGTGATTACAAATTAACATGGACAGACGGACAGACGAACGGTCGGACATACATAGCTAGATCGACTCAGCTCGGCGGGATAGGAAGATCCATATATACTTTCCTATGTGGGAAATCAATATTTCGAGGTGTTACATAATTGTTGGCCCAATCAAACTTATAATACCCCTAACACATAGTGTTGTAGGGTATAAATACAATATCCACCATAGAATAAACAGTATATTATATTTGCAAGTCCTTCTAAACACTTAATAAAAACATTTCACAAGAATGAGATTCGTATGGACCACAATTTTTTTATACCCTACACCATATGTCTTTGTGCATTAGTTTGTAACATGGAGAAGGAAGCGAGATGGATCCATAGTTACTTTCTGAGTCGATTTATGCGTATCGGCACATCCGGCAATATTCAGTCTAGAAGAAAGTACATCAAATTTGGTGAAAGTCGGTTCAGATATGGCTATAGCTCCCATATATACGTTTCATCTGATTTTGGGTTTTAAGTCCATCACATGCGTAATATGCACCCACAAGACTGATATTTGGTGCCAGGCATCAGATGTTGCTCGAAAATACGTTTCCAAATTTTATCTAAATCAGTTCATATAAGGATATAGCTCCCACACATGTCTTTATCCAATATTAGGTTTATTGTGCACCAAATGGCTAATATCAGCCGAAATGGACTGAATGTTGGCATATCCGACCAAATTCAGTGTAGAAGCAAGTACATTAAATTAGGTGAAAATCGGTTCCGATATACATACCTATAGCTCCCATATATATGCTTTATCCGATTTGGGGTTAAAGTCCCTCACAAGCGTAATATGCACTCCACAAGAATCATATTTGTTACCAAATAACTTATGGACCCCAAAAATACCTCTGTCAAACTAAACACGCATGGTGGCATATAGTTGGCTCCATCCTACTTTTGACCTTTCCTTACTGTTTAATATTTTTACAGTTACGACATCTAATAGCCAATACACCCCTTTTTATTGCAACATTGGTCTGTTTACAACTGTATTTTTGAAGAAAAAAACCACAAACGGATAAATTAAGGATTTAAATTTGTTTTTGAAAATATCAAAACACAAACAAACGCGTCAGTATTAATACACGTTTGTTATTCGAAATTCACGCATGCCAACATGTGTGCGTGTTGGGCATTTAAATTATGTCAGTAGAGTGTAAACCAAATATGACAACAAAACAGTTACCACAGCACACATACATCTCGGTTTAACTATAGTTGATAAGCTGATCAATATAACTTACTATAAATAGCTACCTCAAGTTAGATTTTTGTATCAAAAGTTCTTCACCTATTTGAATAGCTGCATTCACCAATTTAACTAAAACAAAATGTTCAAATTCGCCGTAGTCCTCTTCGCCGTTATTGCCTGTGCCGCTGCCAAGCCCGGTTTGGTTGGTGCTCCTTTGGCATACACTGCTCCTGCCGCCGTAGTTGCTGCTGCTCCAGCTCCATTTGTCACAGCCACCAGTAGCCAATACGTTGCCCGTAATTACAATGGTATTGCCACCGCTCCAGTTGTTGCTCCCGTTGCCGCCCCTGTTGTCGCCAAGACTTTTGCTGCTCCCCTTGTGGCCAAGACTTTCGCCGCTCCAGTAGCTGCCGCTTACACTGCCCCTGTTATTGCCAAATATGCCGCTACCTATGCTGCTCCATTCGCCTACTCTGCACCCTTGACCTATGCTGCTGCTCCAGCTCCTGTTTTGTTGTAAACGAACCAATAATCCAATTGTCTGCGATGTGATAGAAATAAATACATAAATTATTAAAACAAATTTGCAAAAGTATTTTTTTATGTAAATCAAATGGAATTTATGGAATTTTATATTATTATAGCAAAATGATATATTTGGTCTGTTGGGACATTCATATACATAAATAGATAAATACGACTTTTCGATGAATAGCCTTATTAAGTCACCGAATGTATCCAATACGCCACTTAACCGAAACATGTAGGAGAAAGTGGATATGTGGTACACAATATATTCGGAGACTATTGTTTCTGAAATAGAGGCCTCCAAAAATATAAAATTTTTGGTACGAAATTCGATTTTTCTTTTACAAAATGAATATATTCTGGCAAGTTCTGGAACATAGAATATTTGTTTATGGTCTCGAGTGTTCATTTTTAATTTTCTAGACAAACTCTCCTTAAATAATCAGCTGGGGTTTATATTTGGTATTTAGTTTGTAGATTAATACACCAAAATTGAGTGGGTTCTCAAAACAAACTTTTTAGGGTCATTTTCCAAAAAAAAAACAGTAAAGAAAGTCTTAAAGTCGGGCGGGGCCGACTTTATGATACCCTACACCACTTTGCTAATTTAGTAGAGCTCCACCTAACAATTAAAAGTTTTTATGGGAGAATTCAATCATATACGCTATAAATATGCCGAAGCATTTGTATCTTTTAAATTCGGAATTGTATTGCCCATTTGGTGCACAATTAATTTAAAATCGGTTAAAAATATATATGGGAGCTATATCCAAATCTGAACCGATCTGGATAAAATTTGGCAAAGATATTTCTGAGCTGTATTTGATATATTTCCCTGAATATCGTTGTTACGGAGTGCATATTACTGTTGTGGGTAACAAATATAACAAATCGGATGAAAAATATATATGGAAGCTATAGCTATATCTGAACCTATCTTCACCAAATTTGACATACTAGCTTCTAGACTCAATTCGGTCGTAAGTACCGAATTCCATCCCATTTGGACAAATATTAGACGTTTGGTGCACAATAAAAGGTAAATCGGACGAAGTTATATATGGGAGCTATATCCAAATCTGAACCGATCTCGATAAAATTTAGCAAATGTATTTCTGAGCTGTATTTGATATATTTCCCCAAATATTGTTGTTGCAGAGTGCATATTACGGCGGTGGAGGACAAAAATAACAAATCGGATGAACAATATATATGGGAGCTATAGCTATATTCGAACCGATTTCGATCAAATTTGGCATACTTATTTTCAGGCCTAATTTGGGTGTATATGCAAAATTCCACACAATTCGGGCTGATAATACACGTTTGGTGCACAATAAAAGGCAAATCGAAAATTGACTGATTATCTCCAATTTCAATAGGTTTCGTCCTTGGACCAAACAAATGATCTGTGCAAAATTTCATCTGGATCGGGCAATAAATGCGACCTGTACTTTGTTTACAAAAATACATGGACAGACGGACAGACGGACGGACAGACGGACGGACGGACATGCATAAATCGACTCAGAATGTGATTCTATGCAGATCATCAAAAGGAACTATGGGTCTATCTCGTTTCCTTTTGCCTGTTACAAACAAATGCACAAAGACATAATACCCTGACCACCTTGTGGTGTAGGGTATAAAAAATAATAAAATATAGGAAGTGTGTTCGTGATTCTTTTTTTGGCACATTAATGAAAACATTTTCCTAATATATAATGGGAATCGAGATTTTTATACCTCCACCATAGTATGGAATGTATATTTAGTTTGTCATTCCGTTTGTAACACCTCGAAATATACATTTTAGACCCCACAAAGTATATATATCCTTGATCAGCATAAAATTCCATGTCGACATGGCGATGTCCGTCCGTCTGTCCGTCTATCCGTCTGTGGAAATCACTCTAGTTTTCGAACGAATTGGAGTAGATTGATAAAATTTTACTCAAATTTATATTATGTCTTCAGGACTTTTGGTATTGAAAATATAACGGTAACTCCGTATTTTGATGATATTTGCGACAATATTCATCGGAATTGTTTCAAATTTGGTATTTGAAGTTCGAAATAGATGCTACAGCCAGAAAATTGTCTGTGCAGGTCCTTGCCTTCGTAAAGCCCTCATATAACGGTACCTCCGGATATTCGGTTCTTTGTTGATTTTAACGACATTGTTCACCGGAATTGTTTCAAATTTGGTATTTGAAGTTTGAAATGAATACTACAGCCTATGACAGACAATTGTCTGTGAAGGTCCACGTCTTCGTATAGCCCCTATATAAAGGTACCCCCCGATATTCGGTATTTTGATGATTTTAGCGATGTTATTCACCGGAATTGTTTCAAATTTCATATTTGAAGTTCGTAATGGATACTACAGCCTAAGACAGAAAATTGTCTGTGCAGGTTCACGCCTTCGTATAGCCCCCATATAACTGTACCTCCGGATATTCGGTATTTTGATGATTTTAGCTACATTATTCACCGATTTTCTTTAAGTTTCGCATTTGAATAATGGCATTACAGGTCCATGTCGTCGTATAGACCCTAATGTAACAGCTACATTCGGTATTTTTAAGATTTTTTTTATTATACCCTACAACACTTTGTGTTGGGGGTATTATAAGTTTGATTGGGCCAAAAATTATGTAACACCTCGAAATATTGATTTCCCACATAGGAAAGTATATATGGATCTTCCTAGCTCGCCGAGCTGAGTCGATCTAGCTATGTATGTCCGTCCGTCCGTCTGTCCGTCTGTCCATGTTAATTTGTAATCACTCTACAGGTCGCAATTATGGCCCGATCTTCACGAAATTTAGAATGGCGGTGGGGTTAAGGTCAGAATAGAACTCTATTTCTTTGGGAGATGATCGCACAATATTTAGGTGTCGAAATGGACCCAAAACTGAAAAATTTCCTGATTTTGCAGTTGCTCTACAAGTCGTAATTATGGACCAATCGACGCGGAAATTAGCAAGGGGCTAAAGCTTCGGGCTGGGCAGAAGCCTTCCGATTTTGATGGTCAACGGATAATATTTAGTGGGTGAAAAAGACTATAACATTTGTGTTAAATAAAAGTCAAATTTCCATTATACCGCGAATGTTTTTAGTCCCGGCGAAATCATAAATAGACGAACAGGTCAATTCTGACCGTTACGTAGATGCCGATAGTAAATATATCGGATATATATAGCGAAATATATACAATGTGTATATGCAAAGGAAAGGAATGTTAGATGGAATGCTTATATCTCAAGAATGGCTGGACCGATTTTGACAAATTTTGTCAATTCAGAATGCTCTCTTGACATAAAAGTATAAAATCTAAAAAAATCGCATAAAAATAAGTCAAAATTGATCTTAATAAAGATTTTTTAGTATTTTGTGACATTTTTTTATTTTTTCATATTTTTATCGCATGCGATTTTTTCAATTTGACTTATAATATTAAGGTGTAATATTTTTCCACCTTACAACACAGGTTTGGGATATTATATACAGATTGGTATTATTGTCCGATGCTCACGAAAAGGGTAGGGTTAGGCTCAGAAGGGCTAGGCCTATTGTTTTCAAAGATGTCCGCAATATATTTAGGGGTTGAAATGGACCAACAACTAAAAATGTTCCTGATTTTGCAGCCGTTATAAAGGTCATAAATAGAAACCAAAGGACACGAAATCTCGCATGAATTTAGAGTTTAGGACAGCGGGTAGAATGGACCACTACTTTTGTCTGAAAAATACCAACATTACTTACAGGCGATAGCCGAAATACACAAAGTGCGAACTTCTGCCTTTTTTGCTGATTTCGTTGACGAATATAGCCTAATATCGTAGACAAGAAGATCGTATAGAAGAGTCTAAATTTGGAGATACAGAGGGGCCTCCTGCTTTTGGAAATGATCGCAAAATACGACGGAGTGCGTAAATATAGGGTAAATGTCCCTGGTCAAAATGCTAAGGGTAATATCTGGGCAGTGCTCCGTCACATAATTTCAAAAGCGAAATCTTCCAAAATGGATTTGGACATAAGGGGGTTTTGAACATATTGTAGTGTTGTAGGGTATCACATGGTCGACCCCGCACGACTATAGCCTTTGCTTACTTGTTTTTATTTATTGTTTTTGAGAATTGCCAAATTCTTTCCAAATGGTGGAGGCTATTCAAAGTTCGGCCCATTCGAACTTACATTCTTTTTACTTGTTTGATTTATTTATGTGCCCTACACCACACTGCGGTAATGGCATAATGTCTTGGTATATTTGTTTGTAAAATGGAGAAGGAAGCGAGATTTTGATGATCTGCATAGGATTACATTCTGAGTCGATGTATGCATATCTGTCTGTCCAAGTATATTTGTAAACAAAGCACAGGACGTATTTATTGTCCGAGAGAGATGAAATTTTGCAAAAATCATTTGTTTGGCCCAAAGAGGAACCCTTTTGAAATTGGAGGAAATCAGTCAAAATTTAGATATAGGTTTCATATATATCTTCGTTAGATTTGCTTTTTATTGTGCAGCAAAAGTGTAATGCAAGTTCAAATTGGATGGATTTTGGATTCATACATCCAAATTTCGTAAAAATACGTATGGAAATCTGTTCGAAGGCTATTCATCGGTAAGTCGTATTTAAATTCCAAGTGATAATTGATAAAGCATCAGTGTAATTAATGTCCCAAAAGACCAAACATATTATATTGTTATAATAAGATAAAGTTCCTTAAATTCTACTTGATTTTACGTAAAATATACTCTTGAAAATTTGTTTTAATAATTTATGTATTTATTTCTATCACATCTATGACAATTGGATTATTGGTTCGTTTACAACAAAACAGGAGCTGGGGCAGCAGCATAGGTCAAGGGTGCAGAGTAGGCGAATGGAGCAGCATAGGTGGCGGCATATTTGGCAACAACAGGGGCAGAGTAGGCGGCAGCAACAGGAGCAGTGTAAGCGGCGGCAACTGGGGCAGCGAAAGT